GGGAGGGAGGGAGGGAGGGAGGAAGGAAGGAAGGAAGGAAGGAAGGAAGGAAGGAAGGAAGGAAGGAAGGAAGGATGTCCTTTGGTCCAGGGATCGCCAGGAGATGTTGAGTCTCAGAGTGTAACGCTCTCCGAGGCATATATGGGAAAAGGCGGTCCCTTAGGTATGTTGGTCCCAGGCCGTATAAGGCTCCTCCTCCTCCATGGCACAGCCAGCTGCCTCCCCACAGTGGAACCATTTTGATGGGAAGGTTTGCCAGATGCAGAGGAGGCCTGAAAGCCCTGGAATCCCGGCTTGAGTGCCTACTTGTGGAGAGCGGGAGAAATGCATGAGCCGGGGGTTGCCTCTCCTACCCCCTCCTGCAAGTCACAAGCCCTGGGAAATCCCTTTCGAACTGTAATGTGCTGCCTCGTCCACAGTGAAGAGACTCAAGTCAGGCAAAAGCGGGGACCTGCACATCTCTTAGACGCCTGGGGGAGTCGATGTTTCGATGAGCACACGAAGCCATTTCATAAAGAGTCAGACGGTTGGCTTATCGAGGTCTGCTCTGACCCGTGCCCTTATCTGGAAGGCCCAGGCTAGACTGATCTCATCAGATCTTGGAAGCGACGGGGTCAGGACTGGTTAGTGCTGGGATTAAGAAGCCCCCCTGGTTGCCACAAGGAGGCAGGCGACGGCAAACCACCTCTCGTTGTCTCTCGCCCTCCTTGTCTCTCTTGTCTCTCAGTACCGCTCTGACTGGCCAGCCCCTTTTCAGAGTTTTTACACGTGATCTAGTACCTTATCCTTTCTTTAACTGGAGATGCCAGGAATTGAACCCGGGGCCTTCTGCATGCAAAGCAGGTGTCCTGCCTTGGGTTTCCAGGTGCAGTCCATGACTAGGAACCAGACCGCGTTTGGTAAACCTCTGAACTGTACAGAGACGCAGCTTCCTTCAGTGTAGCAAGTCCGGCGTTGCCTTACTGCAGTGGCGTGTGGTTAGCTGTCTTTTGACCAGAGGCTGTAAGTGACCACCTCACCACCAGGCTACAGCTTTTTGGTGAGGGTTGCATGTTCAGCTGTCGTCCGACTGTGCCCTTGTGCCTCGGTCTCAAGGCTGTACTGTTGTGACACAGGCCCAGCAGTGCCTTACGATAAAATCTGAGTCCTTCCTTTTTAGTTTCCTCTTTCAGCAGGGGTGGAGCGGTAAGGACTTGTGGCACAGTGGGAGGGAAGGATCTTTAAGAACATTCCGTGAAAGAGGGGATTGGTGCTTTGCCATATGCAGAGAAGCATTTCTGCTGGGTTGCTTTGGATTTAGATGTCTCGGTTCTGCATGCGTTTGGGTAAGGCAAATGGCAGGAAAGTTGGGGGTGTGGGAGGGAGGGAGAAGGGGAGGGGATTTTCCCTGTTCCTCCAGCCTAATATTTCCCATGTTGCTAAGAGACCAGACTAGAAGCTTTGTTTGCATAGCTGGGTCAACCTTTCCCAGCTCCCATGTAAAAAGACTGCATTGTTGAACCTTGATCTTTTTTTTAAAAAAAAAGTTACCGTAGCTGATGAGTTGTGGGTTTTTGTTTTGCTTTGAAATCAATGTGCGCCCAAAAGTACAGAATCAAATATTGCGTCCTCTAGAGCCAGGCCGTTACCGAATTTTATTCTCCATCCCTTATCCCCCCCTTCTCAAAGAAAAGATGAGCAACTTAAGAGCGGATGTACAAAGTTTGGGCCCTATTTTTAGCTCCTTCCTTTCTCCGCTCTGAAAATGGGATGGGGCGATCCAACCCCTGTATGTCTTCTGGAATTCAGACTCTGTCATATATCCCCCCTGGGAGGGATTTTGCACTACCGAAAACTCAAGCTGTGGAGATGACTCATTTTGAAATGCATGCTCTGATCACTGGACCATCTTCTCGTAGGGATGAGTGGAAATGGCAAACCTCTTGGCTCGTCCTTGTGTTTGATCTTAAAGCCTGCTCTGGTTCCTCCTCCCGGCAAGCAGGCCCGATTCTGATCAAGTGGGGTGTCCTGGAGGTGGTGCTGTGGGCGTGACACGCCTGTCGCCCTTGCCCCTTAGCTATGCCATTGCTGACAACTCCTATCGTGCTCTGCGCACGGAGAGGAAGGACCAGTGCATCCTGATATCTGGGGAGAGTGGAGCCGGCAAGACTGAGGCCACCAAGAAGATCCTGCAGTACTACGCCGTGACGTGCCCAGCCAGTGACCAGGTGGAAACCGTGAAAGACAGGCTTCTGCAGTGCAATCCAGTCCTCGAGGTAACCTTTGGCTTGTGCTTCTCAGGCAAAAAATGCTTTTCTGGCTGTCTGCTTTAACAAACTGGGCAATGGAAGGGCATTGTCCAGACCGGGTAAGATCAGCCCAGCCCATGCCTCTATATGTCTCTTGATAAGAGCAGGGGCCGATGGAGAGTAATTTGGTCCACGTTAAGAACATAAGAGAAGCCAGTGTTGGATCAGGCCAAAGGCCCATCCAGTCCAACACTCTGTGTCACACCGTGGCCAGAAATACCAGTGCCATCAGGAGGTCCACCAGTGGGGCCAGGACACTAGAAGCCCTCCCATTGTTGACCCCCCCCCCCAAGCACCAAGAAGACAGAGCATCACTTGCCCCAGAGCCCCTATCTATCCCTTGTGGCTAATAGCCACTGATGGACCTCTGCTCCATAGGCTTATCTAATTCCCTCTTGAAGCCGTCCGTGCTTGTAGCACCCACCACTTCCTGTGGCAGTGAATTCCACGTGTTAATCACTCTTTGGGTGAAGAAGGACTTCCTTTTATCCGTTCTAACCCGACCGCTCAGCAATTTCATGGAGTGCCCACGAGTTCTTGTATTGTGAGAAAGGGAGAAAAGTACCTCTTTCTCTACCTGCTCTTTCCCATGCACAATGTGTCTGTGTCAAGTAGGCCCTAATAATATCTAATATCTAATTGTCTGAAGAACGAAGAGATGGCTCTGGATAATGCAGTTCAGTAAGCTATACCAGGGGTCCCCAAACAGGGTGCCCACCAACAGTTTTCCTGGTGCCCACCAAGTTTTTTTTTAAGAAATGTATAATTCTTTTTATTATTAAACCAATATAAAACAATTAATACAAACAGAATCCCAAACAATGCAAACTGTGTTACATTAATAATATTCTTGATATTCTATTTAGTATATCTACCTAAAACTTAACTATTTAAAACTCTTAACGTGTTTTCTAATAATACAGTTGAGTTGGCAACCATCTTATTTAAATGGAAGAATTTAAGTTCAGTGCGCTAGTGTTTACTGACAAAAAATAAGATATATTCTAAACCTGGGGTTTATAGAATAAACACTTCAGATGAAACCAAGTAAGCAGGAACAATTCCATTCTGTGCCCTGTAACTTATGACAAGTGTTTTTTTGAAAACGGGTGGAGCGGATGAGGCTTTGGCTATGAGGCCTTCCGATTGTTCACTGGAGATCTGATTGGCCGAGCAGGTTTTTCAAAATGTCTTCACAGAGCGACTGAAGGTCAGGTGTGTGTATAGGCGAGAAAATATTTTCAAACAGGGTGTTCGTTTAAAAAGAAATCCCGTTAAGCAGAGATTCTGCCTGTAATGTCGCAGAGTCACTATGAGTTATGCACAACCTCACTCCCTGACCTTTTGTGGCTGGCACTGTCTCCTGTGGTGGCCATTTTGTGCTGGTGCCGTGTCAGAATTCCAAAGGTGCCTTCAGGCTCAAAAAGTTTGGGACCTCTGAGCTACACACTACCATGACCGAGTGCTTGGAATGTCTGTGGTTACTAGCTGCCAGTCTGACCTCAGCAAAAAGCCCATGTGTGGGGACCAGGGTTGCCAACCCCCCCCCCGGTTTGCCAGGGGTCCCCCGTTTTGGGGGGGGAGGTTCTCCCCGCCGCCGGCCAGATGGCCGGCGGAGGAACCCCCACCCCCAACACCCACAGCCACCCATCTCTCTCCCTTTAAGGGTGTGTAACCTGTGTTTTATCCCAAGCGCAAACTCCGCAAGCTTGCAGGGAAAAGCCAGCTTTGTTCTTAAAAGGGAAACGCAGCTTCTCTTAAAGCGGAAACGCCGGCTGCCGGCTACTTTAAGTGCAGGGAACTGCTGTTTCTGGAGATCCGGCGCACGGCCGGGGGGCGGCAGACGTCCCCAACGTGATGTCATCACGTTGGGGATGCCCCACCCCTTCCAGGAACACCCCCAAAGTCCCCCGCTGGGGGTGGAAGATGGACTTGGCAACCCTAGTGGGGACCCATTAAGCAGTAATTGAGGAAAACAAAGCTGCTCAGGTGACAAACTTTGACACAGCTTTGGGGAGCTTGCATCTAATGACAACCAGATCTGGCAGTCTTCAAGGAGCGGCTGGACAAAGGCTTGTCAGGGATCCTCTAGGCTGATCCTGCATTGAGCAGGGGGTTGGAATAGAGGGCCTGTGTGGCCCCTTCCAATTCTGTGATTCTATGGTCATGGCCAGTGTTCCCTCTAAGCTGAGTTAGTGTGAGCTAGCTCACAGTTTTTTAGCCTCCAGCTCACACATTTTTGTCTTCGCTCAGGAAGGATAGCTCCAGAGCAAACTAATTTTATGCAGCAGCCAAACTACCTGCTCACAACCTTAATGCCAGTAGCTCACAAAGTAGAATTTCTGCTCACAGGACTCCAGAGCTTAGAGGGAACATTGGTCATGGCCCATCCCCAGCCGGTTGTGCTCCTTCCTGCCCCAACCCACTTCTCTCTTCATCAACTCTTGGGAAGCAGAGAGGAAGTAGGGAAGGCTGGCGGCATCAGTAGCTGCAGATAGTGCCTGTGGAACAGGCATGCACTGGACAGCTGTGCCTTGGGAGCGGAGCCAGTTTGGGAGTGGCTGGGCAAGCTTCCTTCCTCCCTGAGCAGAGGTTGATGGCTTTTTGTGTCTCTCTTTCCTATCAGGCCTTTGGAAATGCCAAAACCTTGCGCAACGACAATTCCAGCCGATTTGGGAAATACATGGATGTTCAGTTCGATTACAAGGTGTGTGTTTGGAAACTGCTTGCTTCCCTTTTGAGGAATTCTCTGGGACCTGATAGGAAGCTGGAGCTGTGAAGAAATAAAATGCTATTCTAATTCAGGGGAGAGAGAGAGACAGAGAGAGAGACAGAGACAGAGAGACAAAGTGCCATTTCCCCCCTCTTTCTTTTTTTGGCCCAAATGTTGCCTGTAGTGGCAACTCCTCCATTTCCAACCATGGACTCTCCACACTGCCCTTTTCCCTTGTTCATGCGGAAAACGAAACAGTTGGCGCAAGCCACGCTGAGTGTCCCTTTTGTACAAAAAGCCCAAGTCTGTGCATACTGCTCCCCCCCCACAAGAGAGTGAGTGAGGTGCCAGAGCGGGACCAGCTTTGTGTGTTGCCTCGTCACAGAATCGTGAGTGTTGCCGTCTTTCTTCACTGGTGAGGTGCTCTGTCTCAGAGCTGGAACCAGATTGCGGGGATGTTCCCCGGTGAGTCTGAAGCAAGCCCTGCCATTCCAATCCAGATGTTCTTCCTTTCTGAAGCACCTGGCAAATGCTGTGGCTAATAAGGTCTCTGCGGGGAGCCTTACCCAGAGCTCCCCCATGGACCCCTTTTCTCCCCTGCTCATGCTCGTGCCTCGAGAGCCAGTTTGGCGTAGTGGTTAAGCGCGCGGACTCTAATCTGGGAGAACCGGGTTTGATTCCCCACTTCTCCACTTGCACCTCACTGGATGACCTTGGGCTGTTCTTGAAAAAGAGCCGTTTCTGTCAGAGCTCTCTCAGCCCCGCCTACCTCACAGGGTGTCTATTTTGGGGAGGGGAAGGGAAAGAATTTGTAAGCCGCTCTGAGACTCCTTTGGGTAGTGAAGGGCGGGGGTATAAATCCAATCTCTTCTTCTCTCTCACCCACCTCCCTCACAGGGGGTCTGTTGTGGGGAGGGGAAGGGAAAGGATTTGTAAGCCGCTCGGAGACTCCTTTGGGTAGTGAAGGCCGGGGTATACATCCAATCTCTTCTTCTCTCTCACCCGCCTCCCCCACAGGGGGTCTGTTGTGGGGAGGGGAAGGGAAAGGATTTGTAAGCCGCTCGGAGACTCCTTTGGGTAGTGAAGGCCGGGGTATACATCCAATCTCTTCTTCTCTCTCACCCGCCTCCCCCACAGGGGGTCTGTTGTGGGGAGGGGAAGGGAAAGGATTTGTAAGCCGCTCGGAGACTCCTTTGGGTAGTGAAGGCCGGGGTATACATCCAATCTCTTCTTCTCTCTCACCCGCCTCCCCCACAGGGGGTCTGTTGTGGGGAGGGGGAGGGAAAGGAGTTTATGAGCCGCTCTGAGACTCCTTTGGATAGTGAAGAGCCATGGGGTATAAATCCAGTCTCCTCTTCTTCTTTCCACTTCAACACTGTTGGCTTCTTTGTGTTGGCTTAGGGAGCTCCTATCGGGGGCCACATCCTGAACTACCTTCTGGAGAAGTCCCGCGTCGTGCACCAGAATCACGGAGAGAGGAATTTCCATATATTCTATCAACTGCTGGAGGGAGGGGAGGAAGAACTGCTCAGGAGGCTGGGACTTGAGAAGAACCCCCATCAGTACCATTTCCTAGTGAAGGTATGGGAGTTCGATCGGCAGAGGCACTCTGCCTTCCAAAAGAAAGGAAGCAAGCAGAAACGGTTAAAGAAAATATTTAGAAAGAAAGACGTAGAACGCTGTAGAAACCAAGAAGTTCCAAACTGAATAAATATCCTTTAATGAATCTGCAGAAAATATCCCATTGTTGTGACATCTGAAACACTCCATAGAACAAGAGATTAAACGTTTTTTGATGTCAGTGTTAACAGTTTACATATAAACTCAGCCAAGCCAGACAAAACAGGGTCATGCCAAGACTGTTCCAGGTGGTCAGCCGTGTTGGTCTGAAGCCGTAGAACGAACTTTGAGTCCAGTGGCACCTTTAAGACCAACAAAGCTTTATTGGCCCCGTTCACACGGCGAATTTGCTGCGGGAGAGCCACGATTGAATGGCGGAGTTTCCGGGCGCGATCACACCACAACATCTGGCAAGTGGAGCGCACCCGTGGCCAACCCGTGGCATACTGCCGAAAATGCGCAATAAAAAAAATACCTGGTTGAAGGTACTAGCAACCGGTTTGCCACGGGCTGCCTCTGGACTCCCTCAGTGTGATCGCACCAAAACCTTGTTGGTCTAACAGAGGTGCCACTGACTCATGGCTTCTACACATTGTTCTGCACACATTGACATAGAAGCAACCTGAAGTTTGAACACCAAGTACTGATAAAGGCAGTGACACCGAACCATGTCTGGTCTCTTGTTCTACGACTGATCATAGGTATAATTCATGTGTCACAATTACTTTGGAACTTTCCCCACATTTAGGATATTTATTTGCTTGGAATCTGACCGTTTTCTAAATAGTAGGTCTATTCTTAATTTCTGTATTTTTTCCTTTTTTGGTTTTGGGTTGGTTGTGGGTTAAATTTCGCTTTTTCTTGCTATACCAATCTTGCGGTGTGCTGGGCAACTCTAGGGCATAAAATAGGAGCCGCCGCCACCATTGTACCACCAACGCCCCATGATTTTTGTATATGGCCATCATGATGCGGGCATCTTGGGTGAGAACGGGACGTTTTAGGGGACGGCCATCTTGTTCTTAGAAACTTTTAACTTCGGAAGTGGTTTAGAGGAGCACCAAAATTGTTTACTAATTGTGATGTATTTTTAACATTTTTTATGTGTCATTGTTTTATGGGCGATACGCCTTGTTAGCCGCCCTGAGCCTCCGGGGAGGGCGAGATAGAAATGTAAATAATAAATAAATAAATAAATAAAACTCCCGCTGAGCCTACAGGTTCTTAGCAGTGTTCCCTCTAAGCTGAGTTGGTGTGAGCTAGCTCACAGTTTTTTTAGCCTCCAGCTCACCCATTTTTGTCCTAGCTCAGGAAGGATGGCTCCAGAGCAAACTAATTCGTGAAGTAGCCAAATCGCTCACCCACAACTTTAATGCCAGTAGCTCACAAAGTAGAATTTTTGCTCAAAAGACTCCACAGCTTAGAGGGAGCATTGGTTCTTAGTGTGGTGTTCTGCTGTCTTGGCTGGAGGTGTGTATTGTGCTGGGTTTGAGTGATGGCATGGCAGCTCACGCCCACCAAGACCCAGCAGCCTTTGTGCTCCTGTTGTTCTGAGTGCATCGGCCCTCCTGGAGGCTGGAAAGGCCATTCCCTTCCTTTAGGACAGAGAGCGTCTTGGCAGAACTGCTGTTAAAACGCTGCTTCTCATCTGTGGGGTCCCCCTCCCCCGCCTTTTTCCTGTTCACTTCCAGGGCCAGTGTGCGAAAGTCAGCTCCATCAACGACAAGAATGACTGGAGAGTGGTGCGAAAGGCCCTGTCGGTCATTAACTTCAATGACAACGAGGTGGAGGTAAGAGGCACACACCTGTCTTCCCTTTGAGGGGCTGTTCCTTGGGAGGAGGGAGGGAGGCTGGCGTCTTCCTACCCTCTTCCTGTTGGGGGGGTGGGAGTCGGTTCTTAGTCTCCGTCTCGCCGCTCTCCTCCCACAGAATCTGCTGAGCATCATCGCCAGTGTGCTGCACTTGGGAAACGTGCAGTTTTCGGCCGATGAACAGAGCAACGCTCAGGTGGTCACGGAAAACCAGATCAAATACCTGGCCAGGGTGAGTGTGGAGGAGTTTGCCGGGCGAGCAGTTGGGATGACCAGATCCCCTGACGATTCAAAGAACTGTGTGATCGCGCAACTGCGAGTCAGTCTCCTCCGGGTTAAGTAGCCTCGCTTCCCCCACGCATTATCTCGCGCGTGTGACCACAACCAAAGTATATTATTTCAACGAGTGTGGCTGAAGCCACAGTGCATACAATTTTACAGAGTGAATTAGAATACAAATGTTTTACACAACAGGGAAATAATTTGTCGCTTATGAAAAGTCAACAGGCTTCATAACGCAGAACATGAGCCTCACACTTGGATCCCTGGGCAATACACTGATGCACTGTGCATACAAACGGTGCACCCCAAATAGTCCGGTAAACTGAATAGTGTCCATGCATGTCTTCTTTTGGTCTGCGGGCGAGCGATGAAGTCTGTTGAATTTTCATAAGCAACAGATTATTTCGCTATCGTATACGACATTTATATTCTAATTCGTTTTGTAAAACTGTATGCACTGTGGCTTCAGCCACACTCGTTGAAGTAGCTATAATATACTTTATAGACTTCCACAGACTTTACAGAGCAACGCTCAGGTGGTCACGGAAAACCAGATCAAATACCTGGCCAGGGTGAGTGTGGAGGAGCTTGCCGGGCGAGCAGTTGGGATGATCAGATCCCCTGACGATTCCCCCTTGGACCCCTCTGGGCCAGTTCTCCTAGCACCCCCAGCAGGGGAGGTGACCACTGCTCTCTCTGCCTGATGGGGCTCCAGGGCCCTCCAGTGAACATCTGTCTCCTGGGGTGAAACCATGGGCTGTTTTTTTTAATGAGTGAACCTGAATTGCTTTCACTGCCACCACCACGCAGCAGCTGCCATGGGGACTGTCGTTTGAAAGCCTGCAGGGGTCCAGTTTGCCTAGGGACCACAGCAAGCGGGGGGAGGATGGGACCAGTATTCCCTCTAAGCTGAGTGAGTGTGAGCCAGCTCACAGTTTTTTAGCTTCCGGCTCACACATTTTTCTCTCAGCTCAGGAAGGACGGCTCCAGAGCAAACTAAGTTATGCAGTAGCCAAATCGCTCATTCACAACTTTGATGCCAGTAGCTCACAAAGTAGCATTTTTGCTCATGAGACTCCAAAGTTTAGAGGGAGCATTGGACGGGGCCCTACTGAAATGGCCCCTGGTCGAGAGTTATCGGCATAACTTTGGAGTTCCACAAGACTGGTTATAAAAGCGTCATGTGTCGTTTACCCCCAGTGAGCCATGCTGGTTGTGCTGCTTTCTCTTGGGCATCTCTTGAGAGCAATGCTCCCTCTAAGCCATGGAGTCTTGTGAGCAGAAATTCTACTTTGTGAGCTACAGGCATTAAAGTTGTGAGCTAGTGATTTGGCCATTGCATAAATTAGTTTGCTCTGGAGCTATCCTTCCTGAGCTAAGACAAAAATGTGTGAGCCAGAGGCTAAAAAACTGTGAGCTAGCTCACACTAACTCAGCTTAGAGGGAACACTCCTTGAGAGCCAGCATGGTGTAGTGGTTAAGATCGGCAGACTATAATCTGGAGAACTGGGCTTGATTCCCTCCTCCTCCTTCTTCACCTCTCTCCAAAACTCTAGCATTTTTGTTCAATGGATGACATTTTCGTTGTCCGTCACAGATGATCATTGTGAGATTTTATTTTCAGTTTTTGAAAATATTTCAGTGCTTCTTTTCTGCTGGATAGCAGGCCTCCAAGGACGACAGAAGAGAACTGAAAGTAGTTAGGGACACCAGGGGACCTGGGGAGACCACATTGGCCTAGTCCCACCCCCTCAGCCTGGCCTAATTCTCAGGGTTTAAAGGAAGAGGAAGGACACTGCAAGCCACCCTGTGCTCCTTGGGGGACTGTAATAGACAGAAAACACGATCACGGTCGTAAAAGATTCACAAAGGAAGGAGGCTTGGCTAGCTATTCTTCCGAAGGACTCCTGACCACCTCCCTTTCTGGCCTTCCATCCTTCCTCCTTTCCCCAGCCTTCCAGAGAGACAGATGGGTGGGCTGTCTCTCTCAGTGGCTGCTTTCCTAGTTACTGGAAGAGGCAGTGGGAGCAGTAGGAATGGGAAGTGAAGCTGCCCCCTCTCCCCCCACATCAGGGTCAAGATCTGGACTTCAGTGGAGCTGCTGATGAGTCCAGAGGGGTAGCCATATTAGTCTCTAGTAGCAAAAGAGAACAGGAGTCCAGTGGCACCTTAGAGACCAGCAAAATGTATTCCATCATACACTTTCTTGAGTCGAGCCTCACTTCATTAGATGCATGGAAGTAGCCATCCATGAGGTTGATCCATTCGTATACACAATAGAAAGGTGGATTGGGGCGAGATGCTACCCGAGGAGGCCACTTTCGATTGGGTCTTCTTGTAACGTCTCCCTCCCCCCACCTGCCTTCCTGTTGTGTTTATTAATGGATCGGCCCGATGGATGTACAGAACATCTGATGAGGAGAGCGCTGACTCACAAAAACTTGTGTCAGAATACATTTGGTTTAAGTCTTAACAAGGTGCCGCTCACTTCTTTGGATAAGGTATCTGACGAAGTGAGGGGTGACTCACGAAAGCTCATCCCCTGCCAAAAATGTCTTTAAGGTGCAACTGGAATCTTGTTCTTTTCCACTGCTACAGACGAACACGGCTATCCACTTTGATCTATCTCAGTGGAAGGCACCACAGTTGACCCTACAGAATGGGAATCCATCAACTTTGTGATATAAGAACAGATGGACTCACATTCTAGCTGTATCTGAAGAAGTGAGCAGTGAGTCATGCAAATGCATGCCCTGCCACACATTTTCTTAGTCTTTTTTTGGTGGGCATTTGCGTGTGTGTTTGCTTGCAGGACTAGAAATCATAGCAACTTCTGGCGACCCCTAGTGGGGTTTGGACGTTTCCAGAGAGGTGGCTTATAAGAACATAAGATACACCAATGTTGGATCAGGCCAAAGGCCCATCCAGTCCAACACTCTGTCACACAGTGGCCAAAAATACCAGGTGCCATCAGGAGGTCCAGCAGTGGGGCCAGGACATTAGAAGCCCTCCCACTGTTGACCCCCCCCCAAGCACCAAGAAGACAGAGCATCACTTGCCCCAGAGCCCCTATCTATACCTTGTGGCTAATAGCGACTGATGGACCACTGCTCCATATGCCTATCTAATTCCCTTTTGAAGCCGTCCATGCTTGTAGCTGCCACCACCTCCTGTGGCAGTGAATTCCATGTGTGAATCACTCTTTGGGTGCAGAAGGACTTCCTCTTATCCGTTCTAACCCGACCGCTCAGCAATTTCATGGAGTGCCCATGAGTTCTTGTATTGTGAGAAAGGGAGAAAAGTACCTCTTTCTCTACCTGTTCTTTCCCGCTTGATTGCCTGCCTCTGCATCCCAAGCCCTGGTATTCCTCGGAGGTCTCCCTTCCAGTTATTTGCCAGGGTCGGCCCTGCTTAGTTTTCGAGATCTGACAAGATCGGGCTTGCTTGCCTGGGCTATCCAGGTCAGGGATAAATTCGGTTAGTCTTGAAGGTGCTACCGGACTCTTGCTCTTTTCTACTGCACAGACTGACAGGGCCGTCCACCTTGGAAAGTACTGCTGGACTCTGTTTCCTGTGCAGCTGATGGTAACTGGGTTTCTTTTTTTCTGCTTGTAGCTCCTGGGCGCTGAAGGCTCTCTGCTCCGGGAAGCTCTGACCCACAAGAAGATCATTGCAAAGGGAGAAGAGGTGAGAGAACTATTGGACTGCGCAGCTGTGTGAAAGATAGCTCTGCCCAGTGTGTGCTCTGGGAAGGGCTGTGGCTCAGTGGCAGAACAACTGCCTGGCATGCAGAAGGTCCCAGGTGCAATCCCCAACATTTGCACTTGAAAGGACATAGAAGACCTCTACCTGAGACCCTGGAGAGCCTTTGCCAGTCTCAGTAGACAACACTGACCTTGATGGACTGGTGGTCTGATTCAGTATAAGGCAGCTTCATGTCTTCAACTATTCCTTTAGGGCAGGGACTGTGGCTCGGTGGCAGAACATCTGCTCGGTATGCAGAAGGTCCCTGGTTCAATCCTCAGCATCTCCAGTTTAAAAATGACCATAAGAGAATATAAGAGAAGCCATGTTGGATCAGGCCAATGGCCCTTCCAGTCCAACACTGTGTCGCACAGTGGCCAAAACCCAGGTGCCATCAGGAGGTCCACCAGTGGTGCCAGAACTCCAGAAGCCCATTGTGGCCCCCCCCCAAGCACCAAGAATGCAGAGCACCACTGCCCTAGACATAGCGTTCCATCTGTACCTTGCAGCTAATAGCCATTGATGGACCTCTGCTCCCTGTGTTTATCTGATGCCCTTTTGAAGCTGACCAGGCAGTAGGTGTTCTGAAAGACCTCTGTCTGAGACCTTGGAGAGCTGCTGCCAGCCTGAGTAGACAATACTGGCCTTGCCAGGGGTCTGTTTCACTTTAAGGCAGATTCATGTTTGTTTCTGGCACTGGGCAAGGGCCAAGGGAAGCTCTCTGGATATCTTGCACACCCGTGTCCCTTGTTTATAACCGATCCCTGAGGTGGGCACAGCTATGGCTGTTGGGAAGGCACCCTTAAAGAGAAGGCACGCTCGCACTGATTGGCTTTTTATCCCCTCCCTCCCGGCAGCTGATCAGCCCCCTCAACCTGGAGCAGGCAGCGTACGCCCGAGATGCTCTTGCCAAGGCTGTGTACGGGCGCACATTCTCCTGGCTCGTGAATAAGATTAACAAGTCACTTGCGTACAAGGTGAGCTCACCATAACGGGTGGTGGGACTGCGGGACTTCCTGGTGGCCTCCTCCCCGGGTGGCGGGCCCTTGGAGTAAACCAGAGACGCCGGAACATTATAGGAGGGTGGCTCTCGGGTGGGTGGAGGACGGCCCCTGCCTTCGTGGTGATCTCTGCCCCTTTTGGCAGGAAACGGAGAATCCGGGCTGGAGAAGGAGCACCACCGTCCTTGGGCTGCTGGACATCTATGGGTTTGAAGTGTTCCAACACAACAGGTGGGTTTCCCAGCACCAGGGGTCATTTCGTAGACAAAGAGGTGCAGGAGCTCATTAGCATAGCTCATTAGCATAACTTATTTGCATATGCCACACCCCCTGACATCACTGGAAGTGTGTCAGAAGGCAACACCCACCGCTCAGGCTCCACTGGACTGTTTTGGATTGCTAGCTATTGGGGGTGGGGAGGAATGTGCAGATCTGTCCTCACAGAGGAGGGAGAGCTTGTACCTGAATAAAACTTGGCCTTAAAGGTGCCACTGGACTCTTTTGGATTGCTAGCTATTGGGGAAGGGGGGAATGTGCAGATCTGCCCTCACAGAGGAGGGAGAGCTTGTACCTGAATAAACCTTGGCCTTAAAGGTGCCACTGGACTCTTTTGGATTGCTAGCTATTGGGGGAGGGGGGAATGTGCAGATCTGCCCTCACAGAGGAGGGTGAGCTTGTGCCTGA